GCACTCTGCCCTCCAAGAAGAGGGGCCAAGCTCGGGAAGGCGTGGGCGAGCCCTCCCTAGACCTGCCAGTCCGGCTACGGGTCGAGCAAGGGATGCCTACCTACAGAGGCAAGGTTTTCGGGCAGGACAAATGCCGGGAAGGCTCGGCTGGGCTGCTGCCCGTCCAGTCGCTCTACGGGGCGAGAGGTGTAGGTCTCATGCTGGGGGTAGAAGACTTTGGGCTGCTGCATGCTCCCTCCTGGGGGCCGAAGGGCCGTCTTCCCATCTGGACCCCCCGTGGAGGGAGGGGGCGTGGCTTCCTGGAGTCCGTTGCCATGGGCACCCTTCTTCTGTTTGCATGGTTACTCAGGAACGGGTTCCAGGTGGGTCCTTTAAAGATTCTGCAGCCCTTGACCCCCGTAGGACGGACGGAGGGACAGGCCGTGGGTGGGTGGGTGGGGGAGAGAGAGATAGGAAGGGGCTGGAGGCGTGGAAGGGTGGGCAAAAAAGTCATTGGAAGAACTAAGGAGGGGCAAAGAGTCCCTGGGGAACACAGAAGGTCCATGGTAGCCACTGGCCTCCTCTTTGACCATCCTTTGGGCGTTCCAAGAGTCACGTCTACGGAAAGAAAGACTGGTGTGGCCACCAAGAGGGCTCTCCCCAAATCTGAGGTGTCCTCCCCTCCTCCCCATTCTTGAAACCTGCAGGAGCAGTCAAAAAAGGCAAGATGGCCACCGCGACGGTCTGATTGAAGCTCCCACCTGCCTTTTGTACCTGTGTGGCAGTTAGGATCCATCCCATTGTTGGCTTCTTTAGGGTGTCCCTGGTTTCCACCCCCTGCCAAAACAATGTTGCCATGTCCGTTTGGTGCCCGGCTACTGTGGGGAGGGGACAGAGTGTCCGTGGAGGCCCCTTTTCCTGGTGTGTTTTGTGGTGCTCTGGTTTGTTTGGGTCTTCTTTTGAAATGCTTTGCTCTCCCAATCGGTGGCATCTTTGAGGGGCCCTTGACACTCTCTGGGCTTCGTGGTTTTCCTGTAGACGTTTCATTACCCAACTAGGTAACATCATCAGGGCTAGAAGGGAGGGAGGGTGGAAGGATGTGAGGGAGGGAGGGAGGGAGGGAGAAAGGGAGGAAGGGATGGAAGAAGGGAGTTAGAATGGAAGGAATGGTGGGTGAAAGGGTGGGAGGGCAGGAGGAATGGAGGGAGGGAGAAAAGGTGGAAGGAAGGGAGAGAGGGAGAGAGGGAGGGATTAAGGGAGGGAGGGTGGAAGGGAGAGGGAGGAAGGAAGGGAGGGAGGGAGGAAGTGAGGAAGGAAGGGATGGAGGAAGAGAGGGAGAGGGAGAGAGGGAGGAAGGGAGGGTGGAAGGGAGAGGGAGGAAGGGAGGAAGGAAGGAAGAGAGGGAGGGGAAGGGAGGGAGGGAGGAAGCGAGGGAGGAAGTGAGGAAGGGATGGAGGGAGGGAGGGAAAGATGAAGGAAGGGTAGAAGGATTGGAGGGAAGGAGGATAGGGAGGGAGGGAGGAACGGATAGAGGGAGGGCAGGTGGGAGGATGTGAAGGAGGAAGGGAAGGCAGGAGGAAGATTGGGAGGGAGGGTGGGAATGGGAGGGAGGGAGGGAGGGAAGGAATTCCTCAGCCACTTATTTGTGCCTGGTTGGGGAAGGCTGGGGAATTCTGGGAGTTGGAAGGAAGTTAGACATCTGCAGGCATCTCGGGAATTCCCTCCAAAGGCCAAGGCTTTCCCAGGCGGGGGGGGGGGAGCGGGCTTAATCCTGAGCCCTGAGCAGCTGGAGTGGGGCAACCTCCCAGTCCGGGGGGGGCAGCGGCAGGTGCCTTATGCGGAGGGCCTTATAGTGGCCAGGGGGGAGGGTCCCTCCGGTCCGTGCATTGGGGCCATTTCCAGCGACCCAAAGCGCTTCTTCCAAACTTAGAGGGCTGCTCCGGATCACCTGCGAGGCGGGAATATTCTCTCTCCCCCCTCACCACCACCACCACCCCAGGAGCACCAAATTGTGTTTGTGCAATTGTTTCAGAAGAGGAAGGGTCTTCCTAGGCGGCCGCCTTAAGCTCCCTCCCTCTCCAAAGCAGCTTCGGAAAGGGCTGCCCCTCCCCAGATTTCCACCCCTTCCTTGGCTTGGAGATGGTCCAGGGCCTGGGGGGGGTGTCCAACCTTGGCAGCTTTAAGACTTGGGGGCTTCAACTCCTGGAATTCCCCAGCCAGCTTGGGATTTCTGGGAATTGAAGTCCACAAATACTTCCTGGGGAATTCCCTCCCTCCCTCCCTCCCTCCCTCCCTCCCTCCCTCCCTTCCTTCCTTCCTTCCTTCCTTCCTTCCTTCATTCATTCATTCATTCATTCATTCATTCTCTGCCATTTGCCTGAAGTGGTACAGGGTTTCCTGCTTGAGCAAAAGGGTTGGACTAGACCAGGGCTTTTCAACCGGTGGTACGCGTACCACTTGTGGTACATTAACCAGTGGCAGGTGGTACGCAGCCCTGCCTAGCCAAGTGTAGTGGGGGAGGGAAAGAGCCAGCGCAGGCAAGGACTTGCAGTGAGAGAGTCCTCTGGAGCTGCAGAGTGGCTGGGGCGAGGCAAAGGCCCCAGGCTCACTTCTGGCTCACCCTCCCCCATGAGAAAGGAGGAGGGGGGCGGAGACAGGAGAGCCTATAAAAGGAGGCAGTTTGGGCAGGAGAGGGAGAGAGAGAAAAAGCAGCAGCCTTGGGAGGAGGCAGAGTCAGCTGCATGAAGGGGGAGGAGGAGGGGAGGGGAGGGGGAGGGGGGGAGGAAGGGAGATCAAGCAGGCCAGCCATGAGCCGATCTACAACTGCTGTGGC